AAGAGACAGCACAGAGCTTAGCTTGTAACAAATCAAATTTTTTTATTTTCTGAAGCTTATCAACATACCCACTAAACGGGAGCAGCTTTAGAAAGGAGATTTACTATGCTGCCATTTCAGAAAACAGGCAGGAGGGGCAATATCTCAAAATGGAAAACTGAATCTTAAGGCAAGACTGTAAATTCATTCACAGCTCATAACTCAGCTCATAACAGCAACTTGATTTTGATTCCTGTTGGGTGATGTTTGATGCTTTTATTTGCTTCAAACTGTAGCTTATTCTAAGCCAAGAACCTCAAAAAATAATTCCTACAGTCAGGTGTAACTAGCCTGTTATGATCAGTCTCACAGGTTGGTCATTTCCATTCCCTGTTCCCACCCAAGAGGTGGAAAAATCTTTCCCTACAAGCAGGGAAAGATGTTTTTGGCCAGGGCCAAAACATTCATCCTGCCCATTTCATCCCTTCAGGAACAGAGACCCGTGTAGTGAAACAAAATAGCACCCACACCATGTAATTAGTTCCAAAGGAATTGGCAAGAGTTCAATTTTTATGTACTGACAGAGAAACAAGTTTACAGAGCTGTGTATAATGCAGAAAGCTCACCTTTGCATGCTGCAAGGGGGGCAGACCAGACCCCAGAGGAGGTGCAGTGTACAGATTCCAGTGCAGTCAGTTCATAGCCTTCCTCACACTGAACTGTGCAGGATGAGTTGTAGCTGAAGTTCCCCAATGGATGGTTGCACTCGAGGCTCCCGTGCTCAGGTTTCCTTAGTGGATCACAACTCTCAACTTCAGAGAAGCACAAGAAGGTACACAGTCAGGGGCATGAGCAGCTAAACCAACAAGCCAAAATGAACACCAGCCAGCATGGGCTGGTCAAAAAGCAGGATGAAATAATCTTACCAAACTCGCATTCAGGGCCATAGAACCCAGGGTTACAATGGCAGGTGTGACTGTTAATAGTCTCTATACATTCTCCACGGCCACTGCAGAGAGATGGGTTGCAAGAAGCTGAAAAAAAATAATACAGCAAATGATAAAGGAATCAACGATGGCCACTAAGGAAACGTGGCTAGCAATTTGTTTATCTTTCTGACACTAAGCAAGCCCTTTGTATAGCAAAACAAAATCAGAGGGTTTGGTACTTAAGATTATCCTGTAATTCCACAGAAAGGATTCTGAAATCCACACTTTTGACAGACTAGTTCACAGTGAAAGGATTCTACTGGCTGGAAACTCCCAAGACCACTTGTTCTCAGGTAGATATTAGCAATATTTAAAATGCAAAAGGAACAATAAATCTAAGTCTTAGAACAAGGACAACCTCTACCCTGAAAGCAAGCATAAGTGTACAAGTGCTTACAGGGTCAGGTAGCTAATATGTAAGACTAAACAACTCATCCCACCCACCATCTCACCTCCACAGGGACACACTAGAATGACCTTAATCACTCCATACCTGTGTAGCACAAGGCGACCTTCTTTTTCTCACACTGTTCATCATTCCATTTGCCATCATCCTTCCCTCTTTTGATGTAGATTTCCACGCAGTCCTCGTTGTTCCCTTTGCCATTTGGCTCACCTGAAGCCCAGTTTCTCGCTTCTTCTGTCAGTTCTTTGTTAGTTCCAACCCAGGTCCACACATCATTAATTTTTCTGATTCCAATCCAGTAGTAACCCGGATTATAGGGTAAGAAGTTATTGAGATAGTTGATTTCCTCCTTATTCTGGATGGCAACCATGTTAGTATACCTCTTTTTGCACCACTCCTCTGCTTCCCTGTAGGTCATGTTTCTGTCTGAATAATGGTATGTCCAACCATTCGCCCCCTGCAGCACTGTAAGTCCTAGAATGAAAAGATGTCCAAAAGTTGGTGTCTGACTTTTCCCCTCCTCTCTCTCTAAAAAAGGATAAATAAAGCTCTATAAATATTGCAACCTTGTCAATATCTGAAACTGCATAAAAATCAGTGGCAATTATTTTATAAATAATCAACTGGCAAGTTTCAAGCCAGGCTTGTCAGATCCAAGTACAGGGACTTCAGCCTGTGAAACTATGTCTGGCCACAGAAAGCTTTGGGACTTCACAGCAGGCTATAGGAGCCAAGTATGGATTTGACAGGCAAGCAGGGAAACGTGCCATTGCAGTTAGAGGTGCTTCTGTGTGAACCCAGGCTCAGGTTAGTTAGGGCAGGTTCAAAAGTTCTTTTAATGCTGAGCTCAAACAGAACAGTCACATTAATATCACCATCCAAATCCAATACAAATGGAGCAATACACACTTACCATAAGTAAGAAGAGATAGGAACCACAAGCAAACCATGTTTGAGTGTTTTCTCTTCTTTATCTTTTAAAGCAGATGGCTCTGAGAGACCAAAGAAACACATTTGTAAAGAACAAACACTGACCTGTTACAATTCAATATAAAATACTGCCTATGCAATTTTTTTCTACATGCTTTGAAACAATTATTCTAAAAACTTAAATAAACTTTCAATTTTTTTTGGAAATTATTCATTTTGAAACAGTTCTTCGTATCAAGATATCTTTTAAAAGTGAACAGCTTTAAAGAACACAGAATTGCAGCTGTCCAGCTCTCTTTTAGCTGAGCAGTTAAACAGAACAGCACAGTGCATTTCTACTCACAGGTGGCAGCTGCAGAGTCCCCGTGGCAGAAGTTCCTCTGCAATATCTCTCAGTGGCTCCTTTCCGTGGCTAAGTTGATGAACTCGGACTTGAAGATCAAGTTCAGCTCCAAGTGCCTCGACTCTGTAACCCCCTGCCTTTTATTCCCTCAACTAGCCACTCCTGCACGAGACAGGAAAGACGTTTGGAAAAAAATATCTTGGAAAATCCCAGGATCTGGCCCTCCCCTCACGTTAAAACGGATGTCTTTTCTCCTGACAAATCAACCCTCCAGGAAAGACACACTGTGCTGACAAACTGCCAAGTGCCACACTTTACATGCTCTTACTGACAGAAACACACAATTCCAGGATATCAAGGAGGAAGAAGACAGTTCGAGTTGGCTGCATGAATAACCAGATTCCAGTCTTTTACCTGGCACAGTGTTTTGCACCAGGGAGGTGCCAGTTCTTCAGGTATCTCAGTAGGAAAGGCACCAACACTCAAAGCTGGTTAACTAAGTTTGAGTAAAAGATGAACTGCAGCACTGGACAAGCCCTTCCCTGTGCAGAGCTCTCATCTGTGGGAAGGTTTGCCCAGTCCCAGGATTGCTAATCCTCTTCTACAGTCCTGCTCACAACACAGGTTCATCAGTCACTTGTAGCAGTCAAGCTTGGAATGTGGATTTCACTTGGACTATATGTCCAATATCCTGATCTCAATGGAGTTACAATTCCTGAACAGGTGCACATAATATTTCAGGTAGACAAGACAATACACTGAATTCATGCACATTTATTGTCTATACACTGATTAATTACACTACTGCATAAAGCTTCACCATTATGGATGAGGTTTAATGAGGCTCAACACGCAAAGGACTCAACAAGGGTTGTCAGCTATAGGAGGGCACAGGGTAGCACCCACTTTATATCTGTAAAGCATAGTTATAGTTTATACAGTGCATGTTGGAGCTCTTATTTTGGAGCCTCAGCCTTGTCTTACAAAAAAACCAACAGTGACTCCTGGCTTCCAAGCTAACATCTCAATTGGGACCAATTCCCAATTTTTTCACAAAAAAACATCTTAATAGATCTCTGCCCATCAAAGGAATCCACCTCAAAAAAGAGCATAGAATAAAGAGTATATTCTAAAACAGCCTCAGTTATTAACAAAATATGGAAATTGCAAAAAAAAAAGATCTAGAAAGCAAGTCAAAGTTAGTTACTGAAGAGTGTGAGGATTAAAACCACCATACTGCATATTTGTAGGGAGAGGAACACTTCCTAGCAGGTGTGAACCAGCAAAGCCAGAAACACAAACTGACCATCAGGAAACTCTGGAAAGTTGAGGTTAGCTCTTGGCTGGCCTGGGCCAGCTTTGCTTAGAAGAACCAGACTTCCAGAGGTTTCCAGGCAGCATCAGGTCAGGACTGCTACATCTTTAGCCTCTGCCGTAAATTGGGAATGAAAACACTCCCAGTTTGCCAACCCTTCTCTATTAGGAAGGTTTACCACCTGAAGAAAACAGAGAGGAGCTGGTGCTTTTAAAGCACCTGTACAGTACCTTGTGCAGCAGGGCATAATTTCCCAGGGGTTCTGTAAACATTATTGTAACACAGACTAATGTTAATGAGTTTTGATAGGGCAGGCTTTTTTTTATTTTCTAAAACATTGATCAGCTGTTATAATTATAGATATTATAGAAAAAAAAAATTACAGGCAACTCCAGAACAGTTTTTACCCTCTCAGGAGCCAGAAAACCCTACATTTTTTTTCCTGGATATTCCCTTTCCCAAGTCATTTAATGAGCTTCCTACTGGTAAATGCTCATCCTTGTCATGGCAGAAGCTCTGAAGCCGAGCGGGAAAACTTTAGCAGAATTGCTTTGTCAGTGGAATCTCCGGAGGAAGGAAGAGAATATTTCAGAATTTACAATAGTCTTCCTTCACGTGGGCTGTCTGAGACCTCCTGTCTGCAGCAGATAAAGAACCCCCCCCACAAAAAATAACAAAACACCCAAGCCTAAAAGCAATATGCTTGCAAAAATTCCAGACTAAAAAAAGACTGACTCTTTTTGTTGGCAGTATTCCCTTATACACTGAGAGGGGGCTCTTTTTGGTTTTTCCCAGGGAATTCTGCCATTCACTGATTACGTTTTTATTTCCTTGTAATATCATGGAAGACGAACACATGCAAAATTTTCAAAGGGGTAAAAAAAAAGGCCTGAAAAGCATTTTCCAAAGCACAACAGAAGTTAGAACCGCTTTATTAAGTCAAAAGCACTTAAAATTTCGACCCTATTGCTCAGGAAGACTGGGATTCCTCCAAGCTAAAGCTCATATTGGAAATATGGCCTAAGTTATACACGTATTTCAGGAAAAATACCTGTGATACAGTTACTCAGACTGAACTGTAGCTAATCAAGCTAGCAATGCCATGCAGCCTGCCCCTTAGCTGGTTTCCATGTTACTGGTTTGTTCTCTTCCCACAGTTATTTCACATTCATGCTTTTTTCCTCTTTTGCCACTTGATTTGGGAACATAAGAGCTTCCTTTCTGGTGCTGTACAGAGCTGGGAAGTTGTCCACTCTCCTCTTACACTACATGGGCACAGACATAGTTCCTTAAAATTAATACAATTCCTCTCTGCCAGAAAAATAGGAGACTCTAAACTTTAGGCAAATTTTTAGAGATGCTGAACACTTATTTTTCTTACACACTCCAGGCTTTCATTCCCACAAATGAAAGCCCAGCTTTTTACAAGCTTTTTTTACAAGTGGATGGGAATGCTCCAGATCACCTCTTTTACCTTACAAACAGAGGTGCCTAACAAGGATTATCTAATAGCAACTGATTTTCTAGTTGGAGGGTTTCCTTAGCAGGCCACTATGAGATAGAGAAGGTAAGAAAAGGCTATGTAAACATATTAGGAGTAAAAACAACAAACCCCAGTGGGACCTGCTATTTAAAGGACAGGAATGGACAGAGGACATGTCAAATGGCATTTCTTTTATACAGAGAAAAGTTGATAGATACTCACTGCACCAGGAAAAGAGAACAGGTCAGAGTAGGAAAGACTGGAGTGAAGACTCTTTATATTAGTTACAGGCAATCAAGCTACTGTTTAAGGATCCAAACCCCAGTAATTACCTTTGGGAGTATGGGAAAAGGTGTCAGAGGGCTGGCAAAAAGCAAATATTGCCTTTCTGTGTCTAGGAAAGGAAGATCAAGGTAATTAGAAGCCGGGCCTTCCACGTGAGCTCCTAGAAAAATACCAGAATAACACTGAAAAAATGTTAAAGAAAATAATTGAAAAATCAGCAGGCAGCTGCTAAGCTGTTCAGAACAGCTGACACTGATAGAATTGATCTCTTCCTGGCAGATCAATCAAGTTTGTGGTCTAGGTTGAGTCAGGAACAAAGAAACAATAGTGGACTATGGTTTGTTATAATTAAGACTTTTAATAATGTCCCATGAGACATTCTTATGAGGAAACAAGTGCAACAATGCTTAGTTGAAATCACCATAAAATGAGCATATAAGAGATGGAATCACTACTCAAAGGGCAGTTTTTCAAAGATCACTCTCTGTCCAAGAGAACTATTTTATTCCCACCCCACTGTACAAAAGGGTGATGGAGGAAAGAAATCTTTACCACCTTCTAAAACCTAAAAGTTATTCCAGAGTACTTAGGAGGCATGTGATCAACAATGTTTTATGTCCAGTTGGTGCATAACAAGTAGTGGTGGCTTGATTTGTAGTGACAAAGTTTCAAAGGAAAACTTTCCAAAGAAACCATGAAATGCTAAAACAGGAGTTTTGTAGAGTCTACCTTTCTGTTGGAAATTTCAAGTCTTGGTTTGAAAAACATTTTTCAGTATCTTTATCGGTAGCTCACGAAAATTCAATGCAATGCAAATTATTTTGCATTACCTAAAGTTCTCTGTTGAACTTGCAGAAATCACAAATCCAAGACAAACACAGAACATGGTGGGATCTCAGATAAGCAGAATATATAGACATCTATTTGTATGTATAAAAAAAGGCAAAGATTCATTTTCCACGTCTTTAGAAAAGACTTTTTCTTCACCTGTACAGTAAGATTACATCTGCATTTACATATTTGTAAGCCTTCCTTTTTTAAAATGTTAATGATTCTGTTATGTCAACAGACAAAATAATAGAGCATTAAGTACCTCTGAGTAATCCAGTTCCATCTCTCTCCTAGAAGGTATATTCCTCATTCCTAAATTAAAACACTTGATCACTACTTATGTCAAAATGTTTTGTATTCCATGGCAAAGAGCTGTAGAGCCACTTGAAATTTTGAAGTAATGGAAAAGTGTCCAGCTTCACCCACAGTGACGCTCACTAGAAGAGGAAAAATAAGAGCTTTAGCCAGCCTTGAGGGGAAAAGGAGTTCTGGTGCCAGTAGAGAAGGTGTTTCCTGTTTGGAGAGGATTCTTCAAAAATTCAGAGACAAAAGGTTTAAGGCAAAAGTTTTCCCCGAGGTCTAGATGGGAAGCAAAGATAATTTCCAAACACATACTCATCCCTTCTTAGCCTCTGTGTCTCATTAAGTGTGAATAAGGTAGGCAGTGCAACTGCTACCAAGGCGCTGGAATTTTGCAAGGCTGCCTCAGACAGTCTCCACTCTGTCTGGAGTGGAACCCCAGGAGCCAGAAAATCTTATCTCTCCTTCTTATTTCGGGAACTCTGCTGTGACTCATAGTGCTCAATTTCCCCCAAACAGGCAAAAATACCCACTGAAGAATCCACCCTGAGGCCAGGGATCACTTGCACTGGGCCAGCTGGGATTCAGAGACCGAAACATCAAAGAAAGCAAAGGAGCAGAGGAAACAACGACTCACACCTTGAGTTAAGATAAAAGCAGGGCAGGCCTTAACATCACACACTGGCAGTCCATGGGTGCAGGTGGAACTGATCCCATGCAGAACTTGATTATTTCTAATTCCAGTGTTGGAAATCATGGCAGAGAAGGTCTTGGAGCCTTGCTACCCTTCATGCACACAGGAAAGAATGGCTATGTAACACATGCATTGACCCAGCACTGCTGATTTTACTGCCCAGCTCTGTTCCACAGCAGGTGAGGTGTCCCAGGACTGGCACCGATGGGAATGCTGGCTCTGAGGAACAGAACGATTACGGTTTTTGGCAAGTGAGAGGAGTGAGGGCAAGTTTCAGGATTAAGCAGGTGGTTGGTACTGTAAAAACAGTCATCATGAGATAGGTTTTTTGTTTTGCAGATTCTTTGCATATCTTCTGCCTAGCTCTGTTCCCAGAAAACACTGCTTTGACTTAGAGAGTATGTGAACTATGGGCAGCACTGGAGTTCTGACATGACCTTCCATTCTCCATTTGCAGTATTATGAGAGAGAGACTACAAAAAAAGGATGAAGAGGCAGTAGCTTCCCTTCTTTACTAATACCCCTCACCATTTGTTTACAAATTCCAAGCTTCAGATCTGTTCTCTTCTGTGATTAAGTCAGTTCCAGGAACATCATTTTTACACATCAATGGACACAGAATTTAACATGTTTGACTCCGTAACCAAATCAGTGTTCAATAACATTTTTTAAAAATCATAAAAACCAGCATCTTATAATTTCAATATTATGATTTCTCAAATTTCTCCATAAGTTTTCAGCCCAAATTGCCCATCTCAAGAGCTGTGCTGCTCTAGAAAGGAACGTCTACTAAGCAAGCTTCAGTCAAGGACAGTCAGAGATGTTAGTCCTTAATTTTTTCACTGGGAAACAAGCAGTAAACAAACTCTCCAAATGCTATCTGCAGCAAATCACAAACCAGAGAGCCTCATCTTTTGAAGGACCTAGAAGTTTTGGATCATGTATCTGAAAAGTGTTTGGGTGATACTGACCTCGGTATTTCAAGCCAAGCCCCAGAGATTATCATCACTGTCTGATGCCATCTATAAAACCAAGCAGCAGAAAGGCCCATCACCAAAACTACTGGAATTCTGTGGAGCGAGGTCTTATCACTTGGTATCTGAAATCTTCAAGGCAGGAGACCAAAGTACAAGGAACAACTGCACAGGACTGAGAAGTAAAACCCCACTCAACAACAGCTGGCAAAGGCACATGATTCACACTGCTCCTGATTTTTCTCAGTCAGACCACGAGAGAACAGAAGCTCTTGAATTAAATACTCTTTCAGGAGCACTTTTAGCCACTCCACCACAAGTTTGCCACAACCATGAATTATTCAAAGAAAGAAATTTATTTCTATCAGCTGGATTTGTAATTACTTTTTAGGGCAGGCATGTTTAACACAAGGTTATTAGTGGAGAGTACTTCAGTTGCTGCATTATAGGAGTTATTTCAAGAACAAAGGAATCATCACTAACACTGAAAGCATTGGTATTAAATTGCTTAATATTATCATTTCCCAGAGAAAAAAAAACATGGCACCACAAGGCTTTTTAAAGTTCCAGTTAACTGGTGTCAAGATAATTAGGACTTTCCTTATTTCCTGGGGCATGAAAACAATACTTTAACTTTCCCAGTGAACATTTTGCTCTTACAACACTTTTAGATTTCTTGACTCATCAGGAAGAATGAGTGTCACCTCCCCTGAAACTGCTGCACTTCCATCTTTGAGCCTAAAAAGCAACCCACAAAGTCAATTTGCTCAGATGCTGAACATGTATCCCACCCCACAGACCCCATTAATAACCCTTCACCCTAAGGGTTGTCAAGCACTGGAACAGGCTGCCCAGGGAACTGGTGCAGTCACCATCCCTGGAGACATTTAGGTGCTTAGGGACATGGTTTAGTGGTGGACCTGGCAGTGTTAAGTTTATGGTTGGACTCTGATCCTAAGAGTTTTTTCCAAACTAAACGATTGATTCTATATTTATCCTTCCTGGTATAAATTAGTTGGGGTTTTTTCCCCCCTTTCATTTATCAATAGGCATTTACTCATCTTTTGTAGCAACACATAATCACAAACAATAGCAGAGCCTGATTATTTAGATGACAGAAGTAATAATAAGATAAGATAACTTTTATAATAGGCATTGGATCAGCAGAAAGGGAAGGAATTGCCATTTATCATTTATAAAATAATTCTGGGCCTGCATGCAACATTCTTATTTAAAGCTGTTAGGAGTTCAGTTTATTTGTACTTCTAAGCAACAAATAAATACAAATAAAATACAGAGGGGAAGCTGCCTTACTGCCAAAATAAAATGAAAGATCCAGATTTATGCTTACTTAAAGATAAGGAAATTAGCAGTGCAGTTGCTCTATACCTTCTAGAGTCAAAGACAGACAAAGGTTTATCTGAAGGTTAAGTCAAAGGACAGAAGTTCAGTTTATGTCCAGAATTCTGCAGGTAAGCCTTCATACCGTTACATTCCACATTCCTTCATTCTGATTTTTTCCCTAGGAAATGCAGTCCCAACACCATGACAAAGGAAGGACATGGTTTCTCTCCAGGCTGACTACTTCCAGCCCTAAACCCACCACTCAAAATAGCCTCATATCTCTAACCCATGAGTGCAAATGCGTGAGTTTACCTTGAAGAAAAGCAGCTACGAGGCCCTTCTATTCAGGATGTCACATATCCCACACAAATGAACTCTGATCAATTAAACAACTCATTCACACTGTTTGTCTCTGCAGACCACAGGGTAACAGCTGGGACTCAGGAATCATCACCTGCACACCACTTCCATCATGCCCCCAACATATGGTGCCAGGCACGGACAGGGAGAGCAGGGAAGGACAACCAAAGGACAGCAGAGCCCTGGAAACAAACCTAGCGGGCTGGTTCCACTGAACAAGGGGATTCAAGGCAGGAGCACTCATTCAGTACTTCAAAGACTAACAATCCTGTGACAGGCAGGTGATATTTATGGTTATCCAGAAGGAGAACCAGGAGAATGACACCCCCTGGTAGCCAACTCTGGGCTTTCCAAAGGGTGGAGATATTCCAAGAAGTGCCCTCTAGAGAAATGCCTTTCCAGGTGTCCATTAGAAATTAGTGTTTAAACCTAGGGAAGAGGGAGCAGCTAGGAAGGCTCAGAAAGGATGCAACAGGCTCAGAAAAGTAAACGAGTTTTCTGTATATAAAGGGATAAAGTCGTACAAAAAACCCAAATGGATACAAACCATCTGTGAGTAAATATAGACCAAAAATCAGAGGGTGTTTTGTTTCTAACCAGCAGAGCAATGAGGTTATAAAACTGCCTTCTGTGAGGAGCAGAACAAAAGACTTGGTTTTCATCAGACCTTGTTCAGGTTCTGAGAGGGATCACAGGAGATCAAAGCAAGGTACGAAGGGCCCAGAAGAGGCCCTTTATACTCCAGCATGCCAGAGGTTGGCTTGGATTCCTAACCTTCAGTGCACAAACCAAGCCTCTGGCTCCTGGACTGGCTATATACATACACAGATCCCAAAGATGTTAATGCTAAGACAGATAATGTTATTATCCTGAATTTGTTCCAGCTTCTTCACTAATCTGAGGAGCCGCTAATCAACAGCTGTTGAAGAAAAATCTTTATTCAAATCCTATTAAATTGTGTGAGCCAAGCAGCAAAGCAGACCTGTGGTGTTTTGATGTCCATGATAATTACAACTTACAACAGTGTGTTTCATTTGCACCAGTGTATTAGGCATTCTTCTGCTCAACTCCAGGCTGTACTCCCACTCTGGGATTACAAAAAAATTTGCAAAGTACAGCTGAACATTGACCCTCATTTTATTTTCTCTCTCGTGTGTTACATGTGATGGAAATCCCCTACTTCAAACTTCTTTCCTTAATATTTTCCTGTGATACAACCAGGAGCCAAATATATCCCTACACCTTGTGCTCTGCTGTCAGAGAGCTTAATAAAGGGAAAAATTTATACAGCTGGAGTTCAATGTGATTGCTTCCCTTTTCCTGACTCTGGGAACCTGGATTGGTCTAATGGCTTTAGAGAATCCCATGTTAAACTTCACTGCTGCACAACAATGTTCCTTTTTCTAGTCACTTGCCATTCAGAGGTTAAATATCAAAATAAATATCAAGATGTTTTGACATTAGGATACTCCTATTTGCCTTTTCTCAAATGAAATGCTACATTTGATCTTGAACTGCAATCCATTTTGTTTCTTTTAAGATGTCCTACAAGTTCACTAGTGTAGTCTGGGCACTGAAAGCAAACAAGAAATAGCAGATCTGAGACCCACACAGTAAACTGATCCTGGATTTTGGCAGGATAAGCCTATCAGATCTGAACTCTGTTTCTGCAGCCAGGTGACTCCTGTGACCTCAACTTGCTCAATTACAATTGGCTTTGATATCTCCATATACAGCAGCAGAACAGCCACACCTTCTCCATCCTTCATTTCAATCCACATTAATAAAATAAGTGACAGTTGGCAATAATCCATTATAATTTCTGAATAATTCCACTCAAGGCCAAATTAGCTTTTAACTAGAAGTCAGAAAGTCTCATATGCCATCATAAGGGCTACCCCATTTGGGCTTTCAACAGAGGCTTTTTCAGGGATCTTTTCTGTTACTGGGTTACTGAGAAGGGAAGTTACTGATGTTCTCTTTGTAACCATCAGCTACTGCATAATTAACTTTTCCCTAAAGGTGTTTCTATAAGGTTACTTTAAAAGAAATACAAACATCACAGCCTTAATGCCACCACAAAGCCCAGCAGAAATGCACTCAAGCACGACAAGAAGGTCTTCATCCCCATCAGCAGTTTCCATCACCCAAATATTTCACCCAATACACAGGAACACATTCTCTCAGCAGGCACTCACAGTGCCTCAGTCCTCCACCTATTTTCATCAAACCTGTATGAATATGGTAACATCAACTGTTCTATCACAATCTCAAGCTGAGTTGACGTTTATTAACATTTCCAAGAGAAATCATCAAGCAGAAAAAGCATGGTCACCCTGTCACATAAGGGGTACAATGGAGAGCACAAGGCTATAACCTGCTTTATCCCTCTCTAGATGCTCAGGAAGTACTTACAGTAGGTACCAGGATATCATGTTCCTTTACAAAAATGAACCAGAGTAGCTACAATAGTTACACCCAGTTATCAGACCATGCCACATGAACCACAGCTTTTGCTGCTTCTTTTTAATCTCTCTGATTCCTGGAATAAGTAGAGAAGTTTGACCAAGTTCAGATGCACCAGCTCAACCAGTATCTTGGCTGACACACACCAAATTCAGCCTAACAATGTGTTTTGTTACACCAACAGTTTAATCCACTGCAACACACATTGCAATACAAGCCAGTGTAAGGATAGGTGAATTTTCCAAGGCCATCCGAATTAAAACAATCTGATAGGAAAGACACAGACAGAGCAATTTTAGTCATTTGGGTCAGTCCAAAACCTGCAAAGCATAATACAAAACGAGCCCAATTTGTAACACAGAAGAAGGAAAAAATTCTGGCAATGCTAACCCTTGTGATTTGCCTACAACTACTCAAGAAAAATATCCACTATTTTATCTTAATTATCATCACATCAGTTCACTGTTACCCGACTTGTTTACAATACTTTTTCTCAGAACAATGGGTTTTAGGACACCACTGCAAAAAGACAAGATGTCACTTGGCCAAATAAATAAAAAACCCCTTAATTTTTCAAAAAGTAGTGCCAAACTCACAGTTAGCTATGAGTAAGTCCATTACAAAAGGAAAGTCCCTCCATGGAGTTCTGTGGAAAACAGGCTGTCTCTGGTTTAAGACCCCTGTTGCCCCACGCCATCCTCTTTGTACCCTCGAGGCCCACAGTGACGCACTAACAATCCCCACCAACAGCAGGGAATTTTTGCCTTCGGCCTAAAAGCCAACAGGAAACTCCTACACCTCAGCATGGAGTGGGAAACTGCTTTTGGACAAGGTGGACGCTTGGGAAGAGAAAAGCATTAAGGAAAACAGGATAAAGCTCTGCTTTGACTATTATTAACCCACAAACTTATTTACTCAAATTCATGTCAGATGAAGCCCAACGCCTGTTCTCCTTGTTGAGGGCAAATTCCTTTCAAATTTAGCTTCTATTTAAGGTATGTCACAAGTATTTCCTTTGCCATCCTTACCATTGTTGTTTGTTGCTAGCCCCTTCCAGGCCTCACAACTGAAATGGGGCAATAAAGTTTTCCACAGTCACGCAAAAGACTTCTATGCTTGAGGAAGTGAAGCATTCTGTTCCAGTAAAAAATAAAGGGGGTGAGTTATTCAAACAAGCAGCCTCCCTAATGCTTTCTTAATGAAAGATAAATAGGAGCACCAGATATTAGGCAAGATTGGCAAACAAAACAATTAAGGAATAAACTGTGTACACAGAAACAATCAAAACAAAAATAGACCTCTTAGGTTACTTGAAACAAATTTAAAGGACTAATTCTACAGGCTAACTTACTACTGGACAAAGCAAGCTTGAACAGCCACCTCAGCTCCATAAGACTCTCTGAGACATAGGATCCTAAAGGGGCCCTCACTCAGGCACAGATTTTATCACTTTCCCTGACCAACTTGGAAATCCCAAACAGCTGAGACAGGAGGATGGATTTCTACTTAAAGCCCTTCACACCTCTTCCTCCCCTAAACCTCAGCAAACAAGGATTTAGCTTCCTGGGGCTCTGCTCATTTTCCTCACAGTGGTGCTGCTGCTCTGTGCAGGGACAAGGTAACTAACAACAGTCTCTGAAACAACAAAATACTGGAAATTTTCATTAGGGATTGTTTTGGCCAACACAGTAGTTTAGGAAACAACTCTAGTTGTAAAGTAATAAGTCTCAAAATAAAGTCTAACCCCAAATTTACATTTATCTTTGTAGTATCTCTAAATGTGTATTAAGGTGAGACATACTCTTCCTCTGTTTTACTAATGCTTTTAATTAATTACACCTTAATTTATATAGCATACTATCTGCATTCAAGTACTAGTTTTAGATTTTAAAACTGTTACGGGTGGAGAAATTCACGTCAACGATAATTTACTGCTTGTATACATGAAAAGAATAAAATAGTTCAGTTAGAAGTGACCTACAACATAGTATTTTAAAAAGTAGCTATGTTGAAACTCATTTGTGGAAATATCCTGAAAGTTTTAAAGCAGCTCCTACTCCTTAAAAACATGAGAATTCATAATACAAGAGAGCTCAGGACTGCATGGAAGTAATTTTTTTAATTCAGTAATTTTTTTTTTAATTCAGTAAATATTATTTTTTTTTTTAATTCAGTAAAAATAATTTATTTCAGTAAAAATTTACTCTCAGTGAACCGGTGACAAGGGGAACGGTTTTAAACTGAAAGAGGGCAGATTTAGATTAAATATGGGAAAGAAATTCTTCCCTGTGAGGGTTGTGAGGCCCTGGCACAGGTTGCCCAGAGAAGCTGTGGATGCCCCATCCCTGGAATATTCAAGGCCAGGCTGGATGGGGCTTGGAGCGACCTGGGATAGTGTAAAGTGTCCCTGCCCGTGGGGTCTTCAAAGTGGTTACTAAGGCAAGAGTGAACCGTAGGTGTGCTGTCCCACAGCTCACGCCGCTCATTGTTCGACCGATGGGCGCCCTGAGGCCCTCACGCAGCCCCTCCCCGCCCGCAGCCCCGCCCGCCGCCATCGCGCCCGCCCCGCCAGGCCCCGCCATGGCGGCCGTGCGGGACGTGGAGATCGACCCCGAGGGCACCTTCAAGTACATCCTGGTGCGCCTGCAGCGCCCGGGCGGCGGCGAGCAGCGGGACATCGTCCGCGGCACCGGGGCGGCCGAGTTCCACAGTGCGTGACAGCCCGCGGCGTGAGGGGGCGAGCGGGCGGCGGGGCCCCGTCACCGTCCCCGGCGGGGCTGAGGGGAGCGGGAGCCGCCGTCCCGAGCAGCCCAGAAAGCCCCTGTTTTCCCCTTTCTACGTCCCTCTGTCAGGTGCCATTCCCGAACCCGATTTAGGAGAACGAGATGGGCTAAGGAAAAAAACTAAAATAATAAAACTTAACATGCTTTTCTATACCCGTGAAGAGAAATATCCCTCTCTTGTAGGTGGAAAAAGCTGGAGGAAAATGACTGGAAAACAGAGTACTTGATGCCTAGTGCGTATTCTAATGGCTCTCACCATTCTTCTTGTGCAGATCATATATTTGAAAAAGTGAATCCTGAGATGGAAAAGCTGGGATACGAGTGCAAGTGCCTTGGAGGAGGGAAAATTGATCACAATAGCAAAGACAAGAAAATCAGGGTATTTGGGCTCTCTACAGTAAGTGCATCTCATATTCATTTAAATCCTTTTGTCTCTGATGTTCTGTAGGATGGTGGCTTTTGGCAATTTTAGTCACATTGACTGGAAAACCCGCCTGGCTCACTTGTGAGATAGATTAGCAAAACAATAGTTTTAGGGTGGGAGACCAAAAAGATAAAGTTGGCTATTACTCAGCATTAGGTTAAGTTATAATCAAGAACAAAAATGAAAGTAGGTATCTCTTGATCCAGTCTTTCCATCTTACTGCTAGAGCAGGAATGGCCCATTTGTAGCTACAGGGACTTGATCCAGTTATTGCATGATCTTCATTTGCCAACAAAAATGTTGTAAATCGTGCCTGTTACTCTGTGTATATGTTGGGTGAGAAGAGTAGACCCAGTTCAGGTGTGAATTTTTAGTAGGTGAAGATGTAGTAATGTGTTTTGTGGAATAAAAATAGCATTTTTGTTACTTCTTACATTTCCATGTAAGCTCAGTTTCTTTAGGAAAGACTCAATAAGTGTTCAGGATTTCTCTAATGCAGGGAAATGCTGTAGTCTGGCCCTGGTGTTGCTCAGTGATAAAGCATAGCTGCTTCTGTAGTAATAACTGTGAGTAAAGATTCTAGGCTTTTAATTTAGACAGGAAGAAAATAGTTCTATTAAGTTCCTTTAATTTTCTATAGTTAGTGATGGTTACTTCAAATTTGCTTACCTTAGATGAGCGGTGAAGGTTGGGCCTTGAATGTATCAAGTGTTTGTTGGTGATGCTTTTGTTCCAAGATGACTCTTGGCACCTGGAATCATAAGAAAAAAAACCTCTTTAGTATTTATGTGGGGTGAGAAGGCAGTGCTTCTTCTGTTAAATTCTTGTAATTTTAAGTCCTCACCACAACTGTGTTTTTAGGTGAGACTTCACACCTATGTTACTCAGCTGCCAAACTAGTGTTAATGGCAGTGGTCAACTCTTGCTTTTGTTGTCTGTGCAAAATACCTTGTTTCTGTGCTTCTGGTACCTTGATGCTTACACAGGAGCATGATGTAAAATCAGAGTTTTATTGCCATGAGGGCTTGTCAGGCAGAGACCTGGAGGGCCAGATGACCTCAGTTGCAGGTCAGAAGTTAATATATTAATTACATTGGTTTAATGCTTCTCTTGACTTAGAAGTTTGTTGTCGGATTCTAAAGCAGAACTAACCTGGTTCTTTATGGAAATCAGAGAAATAGTCAATGATTTCTTTTGAAGTAGATGTTGTGTTGCTATTTGCAAGGCTGGATGGGGTCTTTAAAGTGGTTACCAATGTAAGAGTGATCTGTAGCTCTTGCTTTACAGCTGGCATAACTACATTATTTGGTATTTTTCGGAAGTGTGAATTTTATAACACATCCGTTTTAATCTGTGCAGTTTAAATGCAGTTTATTTAAGCTGTTCCTCTTGGGGCTGAGTCAGTGATGAATAAGAGTACATGTTTTGTGTGATAATGCAGTCTTGAGCTATTTTTTTTCTGTCTTCTAAGTTAAGTGTTGTTTGAAATATTACTGGAAAAAGAAAGCAGCCCGTAAATCACAGGTTTTAATCAGTACACTGCACTGTTGTGCAGTAAAGGCTTTTTCACAGGGAAAAAAATTGCAGTTCTATTATAAGAAATCAAGATAAGACATTCAGTCATGTAAGACAATAATGGAAAGGCAACTTCTACCACAACTGGTTTAAATTTCAGTGAAAGTAACACTGAGCAGTGATTTAAATGAGGGTTAAAAATCACATGGGTCATCTGACCTTGCCTTAGTTTGGAATTGCAGTGGCATAAGAGCACAGATACTTAAAACTAAGCAATTATGAGCTAAGGCAAGATTGCAGATAAATAAAACATGAAGACTGATTTCTTTAGTGGCTAGAAGAGTACTCTGATGTTTGCACATGTGGTGCCTTATTCCCTTTTCCTTCAGCTGAGCCAAATCAGATGTTTGTATGCCCATACATTAAAGTGGGTCAATGCAATCTCTGTGGTTTAAAAGAACATTCAGCAAATACGGTGGCTGAGGGGTTTGAAACACTTTAAAACAAGCTTTCTGATGGAGAAATTATGTGAAAAATGCATCCTCCCACTTGAGATTGCTTGAGCCCATCTCATTTATTTTCTAGATCTTGAATTAGGAGAGGGGGAGGAGTTGGAGAGGACAACAGGAAAAATATGATAATTCAAGAATAATTCTTTTAGAGCCTGTATTTGATTTGTATGTGAACAACTTGAAGTATCAAATCACAACTGGATCATTTGTGTAGACAAGAACTGGATGGTTCTGAACGCTTACTGTCCATGTCCAATAAACATTTGTTCTGTCTTGCAGGGCTATGGAAAAGCAGATCACTCAGTGACTGTGGAGATACTGAAGAAAGTGTATACAGACTATGAAATTACATGGTCAGATGACAAGAAATAAACTGTGAACACAATCAGCAGTTCAAAACTCCTAACTGTGAGCTGTACTTTGATTACAAATAAAAGTTAAATGTGTCTACGTATGTAGGCATAAATCTGGAGTAACTGGACTCTGCAGTAATTTATAATACTGTCATTAATCCCCAGAGATACCTCATTTTTCATTCCTTTGTGCAGAATATGCAGTTCTAAGCCCTTTCCTCTCCTTTTGATGTGCTGTCTAATTAAACACTTCCACATTATCTGACCTCCAGTTTGTTTTCATCCAGTCCTGTCTCACTGATATATTTTAGGATACATCAGGATTTTGCCATCAGCTTAAAACACCACAGGACCAAACCTGTTCTCTCATCTTTTGACCAGAGGTTTTTTTCAGTTTCCTTTATCACTTTTTAGGCCTTTCATCTTATCCACATTAACAAAAATTGGTGTGGAGGGCGGGGTTGGCTGTTACAGTTCTTCACCAATGATCTAAATCTTTGATTTACTCCGTGGTTTTGAAAATCCAGTATTTGTGTTCCATAAAAGTAATGATCAATGTCTTTGGTGTTCCTGTAAGAGCCTCCCCCGTAACAGACTGATGGCAATGTCAAATTCTGCCAATGCTCCTTTCCTTCTGATTCCCCTATATCACTTTTATTCCCTGTGAGAATAATCATGCTTTTTTTCCTTTCTCTTTTTTTTCCAGCAATAATTTCCAGTTATAACCACCTCCTGGCAAACCCAGTACACCTAGACAGTGTGTGAATTAACTCACCTGCTTACTGTTGTGGCAGGATGTTGCCCTTTATTTGTTGTGAAATGACTTGCTACAAATTTCACTTTTTTTGTTTCCTGCCAGTCTACCTTTAATTCACTTGTGGATTTCAAGGGAACACGTTGTTGACTTGCAGTCTTCAAGAGGTATTTGTGTATAAATTCTAGTTCTTCCCTTTGCTGTGGCTCCTATTGCACTTATCCACCAGTATCTGGTGGTATAGAGTAGCTTTTTCTTTTCAATGTGCCTGTGACTCTCACAGTAAAAACTATGAAATTTGAGAGGCTTTAGTCCAGTTTCTATCACAAATAAAAAAAATCCTGCTGTTACTGCCTTGTTACACTAGTTACCCATCTTCTGTCACCCTTCTGTGGCTTTGTTTTGGTTGAGCAGAGAGGAATTTCCTGTTCTTATCCTCAAAACTTTCAGTCCATTCCTCATTAGCAGAGTTCAGGTATCTCCATCCCAATAATCACCTCAGAGCAGGATCTCTTGAACCTGGTGCTGCACCACTTCAAATGCCATCATGATTGCATTAAGATTTTGATTTCAGAGCAAGATTAAATGTCTGTGTGCCTCGTAACCAAGAATAGCATACAGGTCAGTAATTTGCAAATTGGGCACTTCCCACTTCCATTCTCATGGGTTTTTTTTCCCCCCTAAGCTCTAGTAAAATAACTGTAATTGCCAGTATACAAATCTGGTTTTTAAATAGCCTCGTTTCCCAAAACTAGCAAATACTCTTTAAAGGGAAGTCATCAGTAAGGATAGTATCTGTTAAAATAAACAAGCTTTTTAATTTAGTTTCCTGAGGTATTTAATGAGTGATTTTAATCTTTCTCTCCACAACACTTACGGGAAAGACCTAATTTAGACCGGATTTCTGATTGTAATGGCTTGTTCAAAATGTGAGGGGATGGGATGAGGGGAGAAAAAGCAGCTATTTTATGTTGAAACACCAACAGAACAACCAGCCAACAGAACTAAGTGTTGAATCCTGCTTCTTCTCAGCATCTATCTACTGAATTTTAAGACCAGAACTCACTTGGAATTACGGAAATCCCAACGCTAATTTTGCTGATTTCACCTGAGAAAAACATCCTTCATTATTTCCCATCTGTAACTCTGAAAGGGGAATTTAATTATACTGTGTGGGGTTACCTGTTTTGCAGGTGTGCAGCCACTGAGCCTATGGCTCTAGCAGTCTTCTGCTGAAGTCCTAAAACATCTGATGCTGTATTTGCACAGAAACAGAGCTATGTTTGAGCAAGATACTCAGTAAAAGTGTAGTATTTAAACCTAAGACAGCAAGTTTGATCATGGGATATTATCTAGAAGAAATGTTATACTAGAAAATTGTAAGTACCTTCTTCCTTTATTGATCAAAAAATACTTGATATTCTTGTTCTTAACCATATTCTTTGTCATAGTGGTCAGCATTTCTTATTATTTCAGGTGTGGTTCTCTGACACAGCACCAGACTCAGCAGGTGTAGAACAATCTGTGTCCAAGCCATGATTTGTCTTTGTCAAAAAGGTTTGAAAAATGGTAAATCAGTTTGTTTCCAGCTTCCCTGTTTCAACAAAAACTGCTAACAGTAATTTCTTGATCTGCCAAAGCTAAAACCTTTGTTCCTCAGTTTGTAGCCAGCAGTTATCTGTTGTCAATAAGTTTCAGAGTCAATGAGAAAAATTTCCAAAGCACAGTGACAGTCATGGTACAACTTACTGCGTTTTTCCTCCCTCTCCTACCCTATGAAAGGCCAGATTCAGTAGTTTCCAAAGGACCACTTTAAAATAGTCTGAAACAACAGTAGTTAAGGTTCTTCTGTAAAGTACAGGAAATCCTCTATGGCTCTGTCTTAATAACAGTAGGGTCAAAATAGGAGTCTTGAGGCTGATGTTCATAGTCTTCAGTGATGGGAACTTTTATGCAATAATTAAAGTGATTTAGGTTGCTGCTGTAATAAGTTTTTCCATGCCCTCAAACTGTTGTCCCTTCTCCCCTACACTGAGTATCCCTGCATCCAGTTTACTGCACTGGTTGACTATCTCTTTTTTTTTTTTTTCTGTCTCTTTTTTTATATTTCTGCAAGGGCTCCCATCATCAGTGCATGATGAGAAGCAAGTAGCCTTGATCTACATGTTAGAGCTGTGTAATGGCTTTTTGTCTCTTTTTTGTTAAGACAAAACATGCAATGGACTTTTTTTTTAGTTGCTGGTGACACTGAGCACTCAGGACCAGTTTTTTTTTTATTTCTTTGGGTTTGTTTGCATTTTTGGTAAGGCAATTTCTTCAGCACCAGCACTGTCTTCAGCCTAGGAAACAGCAGTGCCTTGCACACAGGCTTTTCTGAATGCTTTCTCTCCTGCCAAACTGCTGAAGAGATGAAAGAGGTGTGGGTGCTCAGTAAAACCCCAGCAAGTTTTTTGAAAATGGGGCAGTTAATTTCTGGAAAAAATCTTTTTTAAAAAAAAAAGTGCAGCAATGTAGTTAAACTGTGCTATTACAGTGGTTTGTCTCCTTTCCCAGCTGTCACCTAAAGCTCAGTTCTGCCATCCTCCATTGTTGCACTCATAGGCTTATTGGTTGGTTGTTTTAAGGAGCTCCTCTTGTGTCAAGACTTTCAAGTCAGCTTCTGAAACAGAATTGTTTTATTCATTTCTAAACCAGCATCACTTTTCCCAATTACTTGCTGAATAGAGAGCGATATGTCAGAATCTGAATGTGAATATTCAGAGCCCACAGCAGTAGATATTCTCTGGTACACTTTTTCAAAGGTTTGAGCAAGTCATGTGTGCATTACACAGGGAAACATTACCCGGATTTGAGAGATCGCTGGCAGGGTAGGACACAAGTGATAAATACAATCACATCTCCCTCTGGTGGCAAAGCAGCAGAGTTCACCGGCGTGTGGTCTGTGCCCAAATCTGGCTGCAGTTAGACCGTACCTGAGGGAGGCCCAACCCTCGAGAAAAGCCTCTGGCACTAATTCAGGATGCTAAATTGTCCCATTCAGCTACAGGATGTCGCGTCATTCCTGGGTCATCCCACGTGATGTATGTCACGTAGGTCACAGCCGTTCCTGTGATGTACAATTCTGGTGCTGACAAAGTGAAAGGGGAGGACTGGGGACAGTGACTTCCTTAATTTTTAAATACATATCAATGGCAATTAATTAGCATAAACAGACGCTGCTTTAAGCAGAACTCTGTATTTCCATGCAAAATCAGTGTCAGAGAAGTCCTTTACTTCTAGTCAGACAGAATTTGTTAAACATTTCAATAACCACCATCCTTAATTTCCCAACTGGAATAACAGAGGAAAAAGCAAAGAGATAGGAGGATTAAAACATTTTTTAGTTATTTTTTAAGGACTAGTGGTTGAATTTTAACTGGAATCTTTAAAGGCCATTTCCATAATGCATCGCTGCAGTCCCTGATCAATGGTTTTAATTATACTGGTTCTAAACACATTTCTCTCTTCAATGAACTTCTGAAAGAGGTAGATACCACCACCAACCCCAAAATAATGCACTTTGCTTGCCAAATACACATGGCCACTTTTATCCAAGAGCTGAGCCAGCGTGTCATGCAAAGCACTGTAATAATCAGGATTATAGATGGTCTCAGATGTGAGAATTATATCATACTTTGAAAAGGGTTTGTTGCTGCTTAACAGGAGCTGGGTGACTTCAGACCACTCTCCAGAAAAAAATCTGCATTTGGTGAGCACATCAGGTGAGCCCTCTGCTTTCTTGGGCCTCTTGGCAGGAGGTTTGCTGGTTTTTCTGTCCTTTCCACTAATGCCTTCATTTACACAGTTGGCCACGACGTTAGGCAGGGTTATCTCCTCAATCACTGTGCTGTTGTAGTCCTGAAAATGGACTCTTTCAGCTTTACCTTTTAAGGCAACTATTCCCAGCAATCCAGCCCCGCAGCCAAGATCCAGTACAGTCTTGTTGGTAAACTGTATTTCAGCCTCAGAAAAGTAGTCCATGAGATCAAAGGTGCATTCCCAGATTTTCAGTCCTCCTTCATAGACTCCTGGGATGAGATCAGAGTGAGAAGAGACACTTTTGGACACGATGCCTTCGCTGTCGGCGTCACCCGAACACGTCATTTCCAGCACAGACACCTTTACATGATACAGGTCCAACACTGTTTCCATTACTTTGTTTTCCAATATTTTGTTGAGATCTCCAGGTATAATGTGCTCCTTGGCAGCTTTCACACAGTGCTTTGTCTTTGGTGCCTCATCCTGGTGCTTTGCAGCACCTGGCCCTGGGATGGAGTCTGCTCCAGCATCGGCAGTTTTCCTGCTCTGTTCCACGGGTTCCTGCTTGCGTTTTGGAGAGCCCAGCAGTAAGAAGTGAGTGTCTGCTTCACTGTTCTCATTTTCATCAATATCAAAATTAAATCGAAAATCCATTTTCAGGAATAACAGTTTAAAAATGCCAGCTTAATTTATTACAGCCAGAAACACTCATTTAAGAGCAAGGCTGATATAAAGGTGGTCTTCTTTTTTTTTTTTCTGGCTTTTGTCTTTTTGTAGGGGATATTTTTATGTCTGTACTGCTGCGGGAAGAGTACTGTGTACTTTGCAGGTAGTGTATCAGATGTTTTGCCAATAGCCAGGTGAATTACTGCTGCAAATAGAGTAAATAGTTTTACATATCATTAATATCAGCGCAAACAGTCTAATTGTAGCATCCTGACTTTCATTAAAAGGCTGCCCAGGGAGGTAGTGGAGTCTCCCTCTTTAGAGACGCTCTCAGCCCCCTGGACACGTTCCTGTGTCCCCTGCTCCGGGTGACCCTGCCTTGGCAGAGGGGTTGGACTGGATGATCTTCCAACTCCAATAATTCTGTGATTAAAAACCCCCACCCTCTAACCATTTAAATTTTAGAAAACACGGCGTTACGGGGACCACATCTGTCACATAATACAAATACAGGCAAGGAAATCACTGAATCACAGAATGAGCACAGCCGGCAGTTCCGCTAAAACCCACATTCCAGGCTCAGCGCCTCAAGCAGCGCAAACTCCCCCGCGCAGGGCGGCCCCGCTGCCCTTCCCCGGAGCCCGGCTGAGGCAGCAGGCCGGCTCTCCACCCCCGGTTTTCCCTTCCCGGTGCCGGTACCGACCCGCGGCCGCCGGGCGGGATCTCCCTCCGCTTCTCCCACGTGGAGCCGCTTCCGCTTCCTGACGCGCGGCGCGCGGGGGCTGCTGGGATGGCGGGGCGACTTTCCCGCCCTGCCCGTTCCTGAGGGGAGCGCGGCCACCATGTCCCAGACGGACCCCGAGCTGCTCCTGCGGGAGCTGGGCGGCTGGGACTGGGAGCTGTGCCGCCGGGAGCTGCCCGCCGTCCTGCCCCGGCTCCTCATATCCTTCCCGGCGGGGATGCGGGGGGTGTGGGGACTCGCTCATCCTTCAGCCTCCCGCCGTTCGGGCGAGTAAACCTGTGGGGGGGAGAGCGGTGGGACCTTGTGAGGGATAGAAAATACTTCTGTCCCTTGACACGGGATAGAAAAGCCGCGTGCCGGGTGTTTGGCTGCAAACAGCCCTTCCCTGAAATAAAAGATTAGTAAATAGCGTGTGGTTCATCTAGCGCTGTAGATTAACAAGTCCCTCTTCCCCCTCCCCCCCAATAAAAAAAACCAAAACCCACAAACCACCAAAAAAAAAAAAAAAAAAAAAAAAAAAAAAAAACAACAAACCAAACAAACAAAAAAAAAACCTCAAGACTTACTCTCTAATAAATTTTAGAAACACTTTTCTGACCATATGGGGACTCGGCGATATCAGCCTGCGTTGGTTATGGAGCATCCCCTCCATGTGAACATGAGACTTCTGCAAGTGCTTTAAAGATAACCTTTATAGCAGAACAAATTCGATTTTCTTTAACGTTTTTACTCGATGTATCAAGAGTGTGAAGACTGGACTGAGCATATTCGTAAGTAGTGGCTAAGAAGTGCCTCTTCCTACAGATGGTTGTATTGCAATTGCTTTATAAACTCTGCACTACTTAAAAACACTTAAGCTACAACCAGTGACTTTCAGAGTCTTCAGCAATCCTGCTGGACCTTGCATGTTCTACAAATTGCACGTTGAATAAGCTTTATAAAAGCCCATAAAGAAGCTCTGCATGTAAGGTTGCTTTTTCCTTCCTGTTCTGATTTTTAAATATGTGAAAGAAGGGTGCACTTTATCTTGTGTTTTATTGTCTTTTTGGCTGTTATCTTACAGGTGACAAAGCTCTTGTGATAGCTAATAGTGAAAAGGAGGCTCATTTGTAACTGTTTAAGAGTCTTGCTAAAATTCACGGTTACATTGTATATTAGTGCCAACCAGCACATTAAACGTGCAGCTACTTGGCAGTTTGGAATGTGGTAAGTACTCGATCAGTAGGCAAACAGTTGTGCTCAGCCTTCAACTAAGCTGAGTCAGGTGTGATGCTCTTTTTGATGTTTTTGTGACTGGTACTTGATTTTTCAGATGATGTATGTGGGTTTTCATGCGTTTCAGATAAGGCAAATGTTACGTTGCCTCTCTCAAAATCAAGTACCTGATCTGTTTTTGCCTGATGCAGTTCTGGGTTTCCTCTGGTAGGTAGCTACGTAGTTCTGATAATCACACATTGGTTTTTTCTGTAATGTTTGAATGCTTTTCTTTGCAGGTGTTTTGAGGATCCTGACTGAAATGTTTTTGCCCCATATCAGCCTTGAAGATTTGGAACAAACTTTTTTCTCCAAAGTATTGCCTAAGGTAGGACAGCTCCAATTAACTGTGGAATTGTCAGTTGGTCCAGTGCTAAAAATCGCTGCTTAGAATGCAGTGATTCTTTCTTGAGGTTGCACAATATAGTTATTGTGTAGGATACAAACCTCAAAATTAAAATTTTACCCTTTAAGAGTTTTCACAATTTTGTGTTGGATTGTTTCTGTGATTGTTCTCATTCTTTACAGTGGGGAGAGATTTAAATATACAATATCCTTTCTATATTCAGCAAGAGATTTGGGGTTTATTTCTTTTTGAGAAATTGGTCTTTTTATAAAATGTCCAAGGTGGAGAATTTTTATGTGAGGTAGCTTCTCAGGACAAGGAAACTGAAGAACCCAACACTTGTGTATCATGAATAAATGTTGTGAAACTTGTGAATTAATATAGTGAATGTTAGACCATACTGGCCTAACATATGTTCTCTTTTTTGATGAAACAATGGAGATTTTTTGGCTGTAGTTTTATTAAAATTCTTGAGTGCTTGCATTTTAAGTGAAGTAAAGCAGTGCCAAATTACTGATTTAAGTTTTAGGCCTCAGCTTGTCCATTTTAAGAAGCCAGTAAAAGTGGCCATTTGATTTCCATTTCTCTTGTTTTATGTCAAGTAACAAATTTTGGAGATTACAAGAAAAATGTGTAACAATAGGCATATCCTGCTTATCTTGTATGTGCCTGAAATCACCTCACTGTCTTTGCAGTGAAAACAGTAACACTCCTCAAATGTCCAAGGACCAAAACTAAAGTACAAATTAATGTTGTTTGTAGATCATTGACCTTTTTTTTTAGTGTACTCAAAACGTTAATGATCATTTTCAACAAATAAACAATTTTTCTGAGACAAAACGAAAATCCTTTTAAAATTATGGGGTTTTTAACTGAGTTAAAAAAATCTTTGGTAGAAAGAGGTATATATTAGCTGGGAAGTTTATTTCCCAACATACTTTTTCTAAAGTAACAGCTTATGTCTATAATTTGGGAAAACTATACAGGCTGTGCTTCTTGGTACATCATGTTTTGTGACTGAAATGCTGGAAAGTGTTAAGTTCTCCTGGGAGTTCTCTCTGTAGCCTGTGCTTCCATACCAAGGAAGCAAGCAGATACAGAACAGTGTTGCTATTTGCATTTGTACCTTCATAAATGAAATGTTTAAGTTTTGTTTCCTTCTGACAGACTCTACAGCTCTTTGATAACTTGATGTATGAGTTATCCAGCGAGGCCAAGGGGTTAACCAGCCACAGCACAGAGTTATGCAGTACTGTAAGGAATCTGCTACAGGCAAGTCCTGTTCCTGTCAAAGGAATGTTTACATCATTCTTTGCTTTTACCTGAACTATCGAGGGGGTTTTAGAATATTTTTGCCACCTACTGGTGGTTAAAATGTAATTTAATCTTCCTTTGTAGCTGAAATTCAATTAACGCTTTATGAATGATTTGATTGCATCTATCATCTGATGCTAATCATAATTTTAAAAATCATCTCAAATTCTGCTGAAGTTACTAACACAAATGGCATGTGATTCACCGTATTTAAAGAGTGAATCTGACACTTGTTTATACAGTCACTTAATTCTCAGTTTTAAAATTTTTGGAAGCTGAGAACAGTAGTCAAAAAGACACAAAGTTCTCACAGTACATATGGAATTGCTCAGTATTATTTTATGGCGCTTCACCCGTTTTTAACAAACTACTTATTCATGCAAACAGTGAACTTTCAATGCCATATAAATCTAGGTGCAACTCAGCAGGGAAAAGATGCTTTGGAGGTGATTGCAGGAGTGAAAACCATTGACTGCTGTTGTTTATTCTCGCCTGAAGACTGTGGTGCAGCTGCTGGAGACCCTGACGGGCTGTGTGCGCTCCGTGTGCTCCCTGCGGGAGCGTGTGCCCCTGGGGAGCGTCCGCTCCCTCCCCGCCTCCGTGCTCTATGTCATAAAGAACACCTTCACACACTGCAGGGTAGGTCTCTCTTGGAAGGAGAAACATCCCTATGCTCCTTGGGGTTTAGGAAGCGCTCGCTCTGTAAGAAGATCCTATTTTGAAATAATATTGTTGTCGAACTCTTTTAATTTAAATTTAGCCGTTAAATGGTTCGCCTATTGCGCAAGTACTGAGATGATTTTTCAGCTGCGTGCCCAGCAAATATGACCTGGTGGTGAGAGGCTCAGACTGTGCCATTTCCATGTTTTGCATCAGTGTTCAGTGAACATTTTGCTCATGAATGGAGTACTCTGTGAGATCTGTGCACTCCTAATGGCTGCAGGATTTTCAGAGCTATCAGTGGTTACCAGCATGGTGTGACTTACCTCATTTCTGTGCAAGTTCCAGAGTGGATTGAGAATGGAGATTGGCATCTCTTTGTTGGTTACAAGTAACATCTGTCATTTTCAGATTTGGACTTTCAGATGCAACAGTAATTCCCTCTAGGCAGTAAAAATAAAACCAGCTTATCATAAGGACACGGGAGCTTTTGGTTGCCTTTCATTTTCACTTTCATTCTGTCTTTCTTTTTTTACCTCAGTTTTCCATGTCAGGACTTAAGTGCCACACCTTTATCTAACAATTTTGATTTGAAAGTATTGGGAAATACTTGGAATGCTGCTTCCTTTGTTGCTAACATTGTATTGTATTGTCAGATATGATCTTAGGTTTACCCATGGACGTTTATCACATGATCTTAAGTTCACCTGTGGAGGCCTAATCCAGAACCCCCTAAATTCACTAGAGCCAGGCAGACCTCATTAGTTGTCAATGAGGCTGCAGGTGACTGACATTTTATATTTAGTGATCAGGGGGTGGGAGCAGAAACTGCAGCCTTGGTTGTATATTGAGTTAAAGTAGGTACATCTGTGCCTTGTTCTTTTTTTTCCAGGGGAATGTAGGACAAAGCTCTTGGTGTTTTTAGCATGTGAAAAATCAGGCTGTGATTCCTGAACTTCTTTTTAAACCTCATTTCCCATTTTCTGCAGGATAGTGAATCAGTGTACTGTGGGCACCTGCACTTGATTTCTGACCTCCTACAAGCTATGTTCAAGGAAACTTACTCCCTTCAGAAGCAGCTGATGGAACTAGTTGACATGATTTCCATGGGCTCTGCATCCACTGAAGATAACATCACAGATATAGTGTCAAGTATATGCGGATTTAACACTTTTTCAGTCTTGCTTAGTCATTTTTTTTCTGTAGAGTATGTTTGAATTCTTAAAACAGGTTTCTGAGCGTGCTCAGTTCCTGCTGTCCTGACCAGCCTTTCAAAAAGCAGAATTTTGAATCTTGAAATATTTCTGTTCTCCTGAAACTTCCTCTGTGGGATGGGGCATGTTGTGTAGGTTTGTAGGATAGGGGCAGCACCTAAACACTGAGCCATTTTCCCAATTCAGTGTCAGTGTGCTGGTATTCTCTTAGTGCTTGGGATTGCTGTGAACTCATAAATCTGATTTAACTCTTGTTGTCATTATTTCCTTAGTGATCCACACTGTGCTGGAGATATGCTCTGTCATTTCCAATATGGACCATGCTCTTCATGCCAATACGTGGAAGTTCATAATCAAGTATGTCACTGAACTGCAATTTTAAATAATGAAGGTTTCAATTGCTTTGTGTTCAGAGTTTCAAATAAAATCGAAATTAGAGAATTCACTTTAGCTGTTTGGTCAGTAAATTTAGAAATTCAATTTAGAAATTGAGCTAGGAGTAGTACTAAAGCACTGCCAGTGGAAGTAGGTAGGAATGGGTGTGAAAAGGAATAGGAACTTGACTTTTTGTATTGCAATGCAGAAGAAAATTTGCAGCACTGTTGTCTAAATAAATAATATTAAGAGGTCTTACCTGCAACTTTGTAGACATTTTTGGCTTGACTGACCGTCTTGTGCTTTCATCCTGCCTCTCCTCTGTTTCAGTCATGGCTGTGGAGAGGGTTGTTCTCTCTGAGTTTCTGTTTTCAGCTTACAGAGATATTGCACCAATCAGTGTCGTCCTAAAGCCTAAATAAATTATTTGGATTTGTAAGAATTCATTGCATGGTCACTTCTGACCGTTAAAATACCTGATTCTATTCCTACCTTGCAGGCAAAGCCTGAAGCATCACTCCCTGCTGCAGTGCCATCTGAAACACAGCGACATCCTGGGGGGCCTGTGCAAGGACACTCTTCTGTCTTTTGACTCCTGTTTGCAACTGGCTGAGCAAATGAAGGTGTCAGAGATACAGGTGAGTTAAAAAGCGCCCAAAGCTGACAGTGAACTTGAGGAGGATAAACTCTTTGTGCTGTATTATTGCTTGGAGTAGTTTGGGTTTGGTTTTTTGGGGTTTTCTTTATTTCATGTGGTGGGCAGAATACCTTATTCTTTTGAAACCACATGAAAGTAAGGCCCATCACTTTATTTAGATTGAGGATGTTTTGTGAGACACTTAAGTTTTCACCATACTCTGTGAGAATTTATTTCCTGAACTGACAATATCCCAAGGTCAATCAAATATAACCTTCCAGTTCTGAATATTGCTCTAAAAATGTTGAGGCATAATAAATATTTTTAAAATTTTTCCCCCCTAGCTGCAGAGTCTGTAGAGAATCAAATGTGAAATAGGTTTTGAACATTGTTAGCAATCTAACTTCCTTTTTTATTGTTATTACTCTGTGTATTAACTTTTAGAACTGCTTCTTTTGCACAGGAGGGCACTGACTTAAGGCTATTCCAGAAGACAGTCAAACTGTGCAGGTTCTTTGCTAATTCCCTTGTACACTACACCAAGGTAGGTTCTGTACTCCAAGTCTGTATTAGGATTAAGTTCAAGCCCCTGGTCTGCAGATGGAATAACTTGTACTGCATGATATCTTAACAATTTATGACTATCCCATATGGGCTGTATAATTAACATCCGTAATTAACATCCAGTAACCTGCTTGTAGTTCTTCCACCTTTATATTCTCCCAAGCCTAAGCAGGGATTTCCCAGAAGAACAAGTATAATAAACTGCTTCATGCAATATCACCATGGAGCTGGTAGGAGATGTCCACTTTATGGCCAGAGTGGCCGAGCTTCCAGAATTGTTGGTTGTTTGAACCATTGAATTGGATGTGGCACTAATAAGAAGAAATGGATACTGTTGTTTATTGTTGTTACTTTGTTTATTGTTTGCTTTGCTCTTGCTTTGTGCTGTGGATTCTTAGAACTTAAACAATTTTTGCAGTTTAGTACTTTACACACCAGTATAGGAGAACAAAAAGTGTAATTAATGATGTATTTTATATTGAAAGTACCATTCAAAATTAATGGCTTTTGCAGGAATTTCTCCCTTACTTCTCTGACTGCTGTTCTCAGTTACATCAGCTCTTTCTTCAGATATACAGGTATGTGAAGTACAAATAATTGATCATTGATAGTATCTTAATAACATCTCTTTACTGCCTTCCTAAAGTATTCTGAGATATAGAAATACAGTTCTTGTTCCAAAGCTGTTGTCATCTTTTTTTCATGGATAGAAAACAAAAATATTTTTTAATGAATTAAGCATTTTTGTGTGATATAGTCACCTTAATCCTATTCTTGATCAGTGCTGTGCATGTCCCATATTGACAAACCATTAACTTTGTTGAAACTACTTATGTCGACATTTCTTAACAAATTATGTGTAGAATATGCAGAAAGAAAAAATCCAACACTAAATGCAGGTGTCAGTAGTGACATGTGACAGATCATTTCTACTTTAAGACAACGTATGGAAACATTCATCCTGGAGAAAGAGGGGATCAGAAACAAAGTATCCTGAAATTTTTCTTAGCTTTACAGTGTGTTTATAGTCCTGTAAAATCTCACAAGAGGACTCTGGTTCTCCTAGAAGCAAACGCTCTTTTAATGTTTTGTTCACAGAACAAAGGTCTGCAAGTGGTTTATCACTGTGGTTTATCACTCTTCTTTCTGTTTGCTGCAGTGGTGGGGAAGAATAAGGGAATATGGGCTTTCTACTAATCATAGTTTACCCTGTGAAATCCGAGGGCTGATTTCAGCCCTTCTTTTGGAATTCAAGCCCCGTTCTGTGGTGTGATGTGCACCCAAGTTCGCTGCAGGTTTCACTGCAAGATTGGGGGGATATTTTTTTATGGGTTTCCTCTTTTAGCTTTACTTACCTTGTAGATCTTTCTCAAGTGCAAGGTTGTAAACTTTTATTCACTCAGGGAAACTGGACAGGATTTTTGAGTAGCAAGGCAGCATTTCTACCATCACTTTATAAGCTGCAAGAGTGGAAGGTTTTCATTTCATGATCTCTTTTGAATTATTCTCCTCTTGGTTCTTTTTTTTTTTTTATTGCCCAAGGTTTTCTCTCTTCAAAGAAATCGTGGTACCCTTTTAGTGTCATGTGTTAAATCAGTGCTGTTACATTTATGACTGTCAAATTGTGTATACGGGTGTTTTGTTGGCTTTTCTTTTTTACTTGACTTTTGTGATTTGATATGTTTCTTCTGATGGATGTTATGTATTTTACATGCATTTTCTGTGAGCTTGTAAGGTTTTCTTTCAACATTTAGTAAAATATTGGATTGTGATGCTAAGTTTAAAAGCAGAGTTGTAGCTCTTGGACTATAACAGGTATTCTAAAATGGGGAGCCTTTTATTTCACAGGAACAAGGAAATAATAAACTTACTTCTTCGTAGTTCTTTTGGAAAAAAGTAATATTACTGAAAATGCTACTGAGAATATTTAACTTTTTTTTTTTTTTTCCATTCCCTCTCAGCAAATTTCCTCCCAGTCTCTATGCTCCAGAGATCTTGGAAGTTCATCAAGAGGAAATATCCCGGGTTTTTCTCGTGGCTCTGGATCCTCTTATCAACCAGCTTCTTCCCTTTAGTCCTTTCATGGAGCAAGTGTTAAGTGAAAAGTTAGGTGGGTTGAAAACACAGCTACCAGTGCTGTGGTACTATGTAAACATCTGCAGGGGATTGGGACTGATATTTTGACTTTCTGAACCACAAGAAATATTCTGTACCTGTTTGCTTGTCTGTAGTTCTTGTGTAAGTACTGTGACATAAGCAGTTCCATGCTGAACTGGATGAATTTTGTAACACGTAGTTCATGTGGTTGCTGAATTCATCTTTTCCAAAAGACTCACAATAACTTCAGTATTAACCTGGTTAACAGACATCCTGTCAGTTCTCCTTTTTTGCATAATTTCAATCCACTTTTTGTCACAAACTTTCAAAGGAAGCTGAAATTTTTCTGCTGTACTGTTCATAGGGGAAGACAGCCATTTTTTCCTAAATTAAGTATTTGCTGTGGAAAGCAGAATGCCTTCAAACTGGAAAATTACCACCTTTTTGTTTCTGCACTCCCTTCTCCCTCATTTGTGCTCAGACCAACAAGTCATAATTCTGGGATGGCTGAGATAGGTCATCAATCTGCCTCTACACTTGCTTTATAAGCCACTTTAGACACGTGATGTATTTACCAGGGCAACTTGCATCACGTTTGAAAACAAACTTCTGCAGGTCTCCCTCCTGAGCAGCAGCTGCCCCAGTGTCTCCTCCTGGTTACCATCATGGACAAGCTGTCCTCTCAGCCTGAGGAAGTGCAAACTCTCTGGAACACAGGAAAAAGGTACTAACGAGGTTTTTGTTGTAGTTCTTCCCCACAGCAATCGTTCCATACAGGCAAACAGAGGGGCTCAGCTGCTGGAGCTCCCCACGCAACTGAGTAGTAAAATTTGTCAGACTCTATGGATTTACTTCCTTCTGCCAAGACAAACAGGATCTGATGTTCAGTGCCTCAGGAGGGAAGCATACAGAACCAGAGATGTCGTTGTTTTTTCAGGGAAGGAATGGTATTTAGAGTACTTCCAGGATAAGAAGAGAGAGAAGTTTTTAATTTGTTGATGCTTCACTGCGTTAAAATCTCAAACTTTTATGCCTGAACCCTCAAGTAACCACCTGGACTTGTAAAAGAGGAAGGTAGTCAGAAACATAAATTTAGTGTAAAACCACTGAAGTTATTGCCATTGTTCCTTGTCAAAGATTTTTGTAGTACTAAGATTTTATAGTGCAGATGTTTCTTCGGGATTTTGGATTTACGTATCTGTAACCCAACTATTTCTCTTCTGGTGTTTTCTTTTCCCCTTGCAGCCTGTCTTTGTTTTCAGCTCTCTTCTTCAGTTTCCAGCAGTGTCCTGGTGAGCTTTCTCTCCCTGTCTGTTTGCCAGAGGTGATCAGCACTGGGCAGCCAGCAGCTCCCATCACCCTCTATCACTACGTCTGTGTCCACCTGTGCTCCTTCATTGCTTCCACACTCCCATCACACTTCCCTCAGCTGGTAAGATTGGTTTTTGCTTATCATCTCTTCAGCTGGTTTTATATATAAAAATGGGTTATATATAAAAGAATGGGTTCTTTTTAATGATCTAGCCCTGAATTGATGCTTAGGTAAGAAGTGGTTCTGTAGAAAGCAGCTGTGACACAGTTACATGGCTGGAGTTGAGTTATCCAGCAAATGTCACTTGTGGGAAGGGGGAGAAGTAAGGCTTCAAAGAGTTCCTGAGGACTTCAGTGGCACTGGAAATTTTTGTTCTCTTTCAGAGGGAGGGAGCTCAAATCATCATAAAAGTTCAGTGCTTTCTTTTATGCTGTATTCAAATTGTATTAACTTTACCTGTTTTTATTAGTCTATACTAAGTTTAGAGTAGACTATGTTGTTGTGATTCCAGCTAAAAACATATCATAAAATGGTAATGAGCAACATTTTCTACTTCAGAGGAGTATTCTGGGCTTTAATTAACATTACATAATGTTTTCAAAGTTTTTCACTTTTACTGCACACAGACAGAAGTACCCCCAGATAAATGTAAACCTTGATAAAGTTAGGAGCTGTCACAAAAAATTACAGCCCTAATTTAGGGGTTTTGTTTGTTTGTTTGTTTCTGAATGCTGTGTTCCTCTTTCAGGTAAAATTTGTGTTTGTAATACAAAGAGGAAAAGTATTCATTTGGTTTTCAGTAGGTTGCCAATAAAGCTGGAAAGAAAATTGGCAATACATTGTTTTTTTTTCATAAGAGTTGCCTTGCAAAGAAGGGATGCACACGATGAAATGTCTCCAAGTGAAGGATCCCCAGGCCATTGAGGTGGATGCACATGTGCATTCAAAGTGTGCAGATCTAAAGGTGTGGCTGCTCACTTGATGGTGTAGCTGAATATG